GCTCTGGGTGGCTGCAACAGGAGGGGAGGGGTGCATACAGACACACACATAGCTGCAGCCTGCAGCAGCCCAGCAGTGTGCAGAGCACTGCCCACCACAGCAGGTAAGTCTGTCATGGAGAAGGGGCATGAGGGCAGATCAACACCCCCCACAGTGAGGGAGGGAATGGGGCAGAGGCAGGGGTGAATGGGGCCCTGGGCCCAGGGCGAGTCATGGGACACTCAGAGCCCAGGTGGCTTATCTAGGGGAGAGGGGAGGGCTCCCACCGCTGCGTCCACCCCAGCGGAGGTTCGGGGAGCTTGTGCCCCCCAGCTCTGTGCACAGGACGGAGGCGTGCTGCCATTATGGGCTGGGCTCTGTGCCCTGCTGCCTCAGAGCAGTGCGATGTCATGTACCTGCATCCACCTAGTGGGTGGGGGATGCACTGCAGTCAATGTGCGGCAGGCTCGTGGTGTCTCGCTGCTTCCAGAGGTAGGAGCAGTGGGGCACAGAGCCCAGCCCGCTGCGCCCATAGATTGGGGGGCATGTATCCCCTGGGCCTCTGCCCAGGTGCGCACAGTGGCAGGGGGCCCCCCCCCCCGCCCCCTGCCTCTGCTCCACTCCCTCCCTCACTGTGGGGACATCAATCTGCCCCCCACGCCTCCTCCCCATGACAGACTTACCTGCTTGGGGGGGGGGGTGGTATACACATGCATGCAAGCATGCACAGCCCCCCACAAATAATATATTCTCCCTCTGCCAATGCCAGAACTGCTGCCTGGGCAGTAGAGATCGGGGTGAAAAACTTATCCACAGACAACAGGGAGGTAGGGGAGGTGACACTGCATCTTGGGATGCTGGAGGACTGCAACTTGGGTGGCTCATCTGTGGGAAATGACCACACATTAATGGAATATGAGCTGGGTAACATGGATCAGAAATAAACCTGCCCTGGAGTGGTGTGACTTTAAGCTGCCTAAAGTATGCTTAAAACTAATTTCAGGTGTTAATGTGTAGACAAACCAGAAAACAATCCAAGAGCTCCAGAAGTTGCCTAAAATTAGCATGTAGTAAGGTCCACAGTGTTTGGATGCAAAATATGGCTTAACCCTAAGGGCATTTTTACACATGCATGTGTTGCAGCAATGGACGCTTTGAAAAGCGCCCAGCAATGTGACACATACAGTTGTATAAGTGGCAAAATGCATAGTGCTGAGAAAATAGTGCACCTTTGAACTAAAATACTTCAGAAGTGCTTTAGTTCAAAAGCACACCACTGCCATTTTCTGCTCGCTAATGCGCATTTCAGTGCTTATACAACTGCACGCTGTGCAGTGCAATGCATCTCAGCTCACATGAACAGTAGACTCAATTAATCAAGTCTGTTCCAAAGTGGGAGATCTCCAGCGTGTTGCTGGAAAAAAAGTATGTGTATAAATGCCCCATGTGATTGGTTCTATTAGGCTGTAGTGAGCCTATTGTTAGACTTGAGCAATCCTTTCTTTTTTTTTTCTTTTTTAAGATATACACATGGTTATGAATATGTAATTAATTCAACTTCAAACATACAACTTAATTCAGTTAAATACCAAATAATAGATTAATACAAAACACTATAACACATCAGTGCTGGAGATGCATGGAATAGGAAGAGTACTAAGCACATCATGTGAATTATTCCCAGTCCTGTCAGCAAGAAACAGAAGGTAACAGTTTTTCAGAATTCATTCATTTTAGTTTCTATATGAGAGACTTAGGCTGAACTTTCTTTTCCTTGCTCTAAGTGGGATAAAATATCAGAACTAATTAAGTTTTCAGTGAAACATTGTGCAATGGGATGTCATGGTATTGTTTTCTCTTGTTTCTCTTCTCTCTCCTAGCCCTGCAGGTGAGCAGTTAAGTGAAGCTGACAAGATGTTACATTAAAGCTAATAAGTGCTATTAACGAAATAGACTACTGAACACACTGCAAGATATGTTCCTAAGTGAGGGACAGGACAAGGCTCTCACTGGGATTGTAGAGAGGCAGCAGCAAGGAACCAGACTGCCATGCGTAGGCCGTGAGATGGTGCGGAGTCACTTGGAGGAACTGGATGCCTTTAAGTCGGCAGGCCCGGATGAGCTCCATCCGAGGGTACTGAAGGCACTGGCTGATGTCATTGCACAGCCACTGGCGGGAATATTTGAACGCTCGTGGCGCACGGGCCAGGTCCCGGAGGCCTGGAAAAGGGCCAATGTGGTCCCCATTTTCAAGAATGGGAGGAAGGAGGACCCAGGCAACTATAGGCCAGTCAGTCTCACCTCCATCCTAGGCAAAGTCTTCGAAAAAATTATCAAGGCTGACATTTGCGAGAGCCCGGCAGGACAAATTATGCTGAGGGGGAACCAGCACGGGTTCGTAGCAGGTAGATCATGCCTGACTAATCTAGTCTCTTTTTATGACCAGGTTACAAAACGCCTGGACGCAGGAGTAGGGGTTGATGTCGTATACTTAGACTTCAGGAAGGCCTTCGATACGGTATCCCACACCATACTGGTAAACAAGTTAAGAGGCTGTCACTTGGATGACTACACAGCCCAGTGGGTGGCGAATTGGCTACAGGGTCGCACCCAGAGAGTTGTAGTGGATGGATCGGTATTGACCTGGAAGGGTGTGGGCAGTGGGGTCCCGCAAGGCTTGGTCCTTGGACCGATACTCTTCAATATCTTCATCAGCGAC